CAGCCAAGTGGCAACACAATACCTATAGTTGTTGGAAATCTTGTATATGATCGTAAAAAGTGAGTATATACGGCAAGCATGGTGTAACTGAGTATAATGTTGACGCGAAAGTAAATGAAAAAATGACAACATACAGGAAGGGCATACAAAGGAAGCGGCGAAATTTAAGACACCAAGTGATGATGGCACAAAGCAATACGATGCGGTAAATAATTTGCAAGATAAGTTGGAAAACATGATAAAAAAAGTCAAAAAGGAAGAGCAATCAAATAAGTTGGATATTTCGGATCAATTTGGAAAGCACTTTAAGTCATTAATTAAAATACGCTCGATTCAAGCTAAGATGAAGGCATATATTTTCTGATAAAAATTTCGTATTTGTGGTATATTAAATTACAATTCCCAATGACCAATGTTAATATGATAGGTTAGTGGTAAAAACCTATTGTTTATACTGCTTGGAAGATAATATATGTGATAATACGGAATAGGAAGTTGTTTAAAAGAAAGCAACAGAAACGCACTAAGGTGACTAAGCCTTTGCTTTGTGTTTCATTGCATTAATATTTGTTACCGTTCCGGATTTGAGTGTTAAATTGGTTTTATATTTTTTAAAAAGCATATATTTTACAATTGATTTTATTAATTGATTAATGCAGGATTTCGCGATATTTTATGACAATCCTTCAGCGATGACGATACGTATATAGGCATATTCGTTTTCTCGTTGTAAGCGGACACTGTAACACTGATGTACGCATGCATATAGTCATAAACCAAATTCCTGGCTTATCGCGTTTTTTACACTATACATGTTGGTTGCATGCGTGCTAATATTCTTAACATTTTAAGCTAACATAATCAGTAAATGGCCCATTATTTAATGAAGGACGTGGGTGAAGGTTTATATCGTTTATTTAGGATTTTCTCACCATGCAAGTGTTCAACCGATATATAAGGGAGCACTCGTTAAATATAAAGATATACATGCAAGCTTCAGTGAAGCTAGCAAGTAGCAATGCCAAACTGTATACGCGCAATCGCTCAATGCCAAAGTATACTTTCATACTGGGTTCATTGAAGAACGAGGCATGATGAGAATATATATATTGTATGCATGATGCATGAATATTCTATACAACCGTATAGAATATTCACTGATATGACTTTATATAAAGATACCAAATTCAATGAAGCAAAAAATGCCGAAGTATAAGTATACTTGTAGACTGCATTTTAGAAGAACAGGCATGAATATACATTACGGCAGGGCTTACAGGAAAGGTGAATTCAGAAGATATGATACCCGATACTATTTTTGCCTTTTTACGACTCGTCGGTAAATATAAAGATATACAAGCTTCAGTGAACTGAGTGAAGTAGCAATGCCAGATTGTATACGCGCAATCGCTCAATGCCAAAGTATACTTGCAGAGTGGTTTTTGAAGAACGAGGCATGATCACAATATATAGATATCGTATGATGCATGAATATTCTATACAATCGTATAGAATATTCACTGATATGATTTTATATAAAGATACCAAATTCAATGAAGCAAAAAATGCCGAAGTATAAGTATACTTGTAGACTGCATTTTTGAAGAACGGGCATGAATATATATTACGGCAGGCTTACAGGAAAGGTAAATTCAGAAGTATATATGATACCCGATACTATTTTTGCCTTTTTACGACTCGTCGGTAAATATAAAGATATACAAGCTTCAGTGAAGTAGCAATGCCAGATTGTATACGCGCAATCGCTCAATGCCAAAGTATACTTGCAGAGTGGTTTTTGAAGAACTCGGCATGATCACAATATATATATATATATATATTGTATGATGCCATTGCATGAATATTCTATACAACCGTATAGAATATTCACTGACATGGCTTATTTAGGATTTTATCACCAGACATGCAAGTGTTTAACCGATATATAAAGGAGCACTCGGTAAGTATGAAGATATACAAGCTTCAGTGAAGCTAGAGTGAAGCTAGCAATGCCAAACGTACTGTATACGCGCAATCGCTCAATGCCAAAGTATACTCTTTATATAAAGATACCAAATTCAAGGAAGCAAAAAATGCCGAAGTATAAGTATACTTGTAGACTGCATTTTTGAAGAACAGGCATCAATATATATTACGGCAGGGCTTATACAGGAAAGGTAAATTCAGAAGATATGATACCCGATACTATTTTTGCCTTTTTACGACTCGTCACGAAATTCGTGAACCACATCAGCACAACATCATATGAAGACTAGGCAATGCAAACTTCATGTAAGCAAGTTCGTAAATTCAGAAGAGATGATACCCGGTACTATTTTTGCGTTTTTACGACTCGTGACGAAATTCGTGACGAGTTATATCGACTTGTACCTTGCGATGGATTTCACGACTTGTGACAACTTGTAACGAGTCGTGAAATGCGGGAGTATTGGACATGTATGCTATATAGGCCAATTATCGCAAAATTGCCGCCTCCAATGTTTACATCTAGGATGATAGGTTCTAGTGTGTTATAGATTTTCGTCAGCTTAAGTCGTTTGGCAGATATTCCTGATCTTACATATGCTAAAACCCCTCCACCGCCTTTGACCCTGTCATTACGAAAGAGACGGTAGTTATTTAATTTAAATTGACTGTCAGGGTACGTTGAATCGATTTTTGTCTCGGTTAGAATAATTATGCTTGCTCTTAGCTTGTCGTTAATTAACTTTAGCTCTTCGAATTTGTTCTGCAGACTATTGATGTTAATATGTAACATCAGATCCTGACTGTGATGTCTTTGTTTTACTCGAATCATGTTCTCGAGAGGGTCTATGCAGTGTGACCATATATGCAAATTGTTTTACTAAAACTGCTTAAAATTGGTTGGTGCCCCCTCCTGTTCTTAATGTTGCAGTTGTTTAAAGCAGGTGGGGTTGTCTAAGGGCATCCAATCGGATCTGGTAATAAAATGTACTAAACCTGGTCACACTGGGTCTATGATGCTTTCATTAGATGAGCGTGATGTGTTATGCAAATTGTGTGGCATGTCCGAAGTATTAAGTTCGTGTTCGAGATTGCTCACGTTCGCAAAGGGAAAATATTTCAAGGTTTCTATACATTCTGAACAAGACCAATTCATAACAGTATTACCAGATTGTAAATCCTTATATTGAGCTGGAGAAATACCTCCGCATTTTAAATGACATAAAAGATTGCACAATTTGCAACTCACGGTTCGATGGTTTCTTGCTATTGTCCGATTACAAACAGAGCATTTCGGCCGATTTATACTTCCACTAACAGGCCCGGGATTAGGCGAAATATCTCCAGATGTAGCAATTCTTGTTAGTTGAAAACTGGCAAGACCGTTAGGATAATAACTAGTCCTTGCAGAAACGAATCGCTTCCTACCCATCCCATTCTTTTCACGTTGACAGAGGCGACTTAGATTCTCGATTGTACAGAGATAAAGTTTCCTTTTACACGCCGTATATGACGAGAATATGCATTCCCTCGTTTCTCCAAATAGTTCTGAAGCATTTCTTGTTACAGGGCATTCCACGAATTGCCATAATAAGCATATTAAGATGATAATCAGTTTAGTGTGCATTTCAAAACAAGTATTAATGTCGTCGCGAAGACACTAATATTCGGATATAGTGCGAAGACGATGTCTAAATTATTCATATTGTTATTGTCAAAACAAAAAGGGGCTATATGGTTAAAGGCTACATGCAGTCAAAGGTTAAAGTGCTTATGAAACGAAATTTATACATTATAAAACGTACTGCTAGAGCGATGAAGAATGACGTTTGCAGTTTCTTCATCTTATCTCATTCTCAAGTTATCGCACTTTCTAAATTTCGAGTTGTGACGTCACTAGTTTGACTTGAGATAATGGCAATAACAAGAAAGTCTGATATCTTAGTGAGTATTTAATAAAATTCAATGAAACTCAGTACACTTAGTGGGTGCACCCATATGAATACTTACGGCAGGTCATGTGGTTGTCATGGCAACACACTAGTCCCCAGTCTCTTCTCTTCTTTTTCACCAATTTTCTCCTGTAGACCTTTTGCAGAGGATGTTTGCATGTTATAACGGTTTAACCTGATCACAACACCTACACTTATTATAGTGATAATCGATAATTGCAGAAATTACTATTTATTTCGTTGGAAATGGATCATATAGAAATTGGAAGAGAAGGGATTGGGGACGAGTGTGTTGCCATAACAACCATATAAACAAGCCAAATTGTTCACCTCGTTGCACCCACTAAGTGTGCCAAGTTTCATTTAATTTTCTTAAATGATCATCAAGATATCAGATTTTCTTGTTATTGCCACTATTTTGACTCAAACTAGTGACGTCACAACTCAAAATATAGAAAGTGCGATAACTTGGGAATGAGTTAAGATACGAACAAACTATAAACGTCATTCTTCATCATTTAAGCAGTACCTTTTAATAAGACAATAAAAAATGAGGCAAAAATTTCATTTCATAAGCACTTTAAAAATAATTTACTTTAATGACAGTTACCTTATTAACTGAAATAATCTAAATATCTAATAACAAATATCAATGCCCTGCATATAATGTCCGGCCCGTATAATAATAGCCATAACAAAGAGAAAGTTTCATCAATTTAATTATTTACAGAACTAACGTTTCGTCTTCAGTTGACATTTTCAGAGTAAAGAATGAATTGATATAAAATTCCAAATTATATATGCATGAATAAATTACAACTAATTACAGAGTATAGAATTACAAGTGTAATCTAAGGAAGAATTGGGAGCAGAAGTACATATGGGGTATAGAAAGGGGATTAGAGTAGAAATTGAAATAGCTGTATAACATTACAAGCTAGTAAATCTACTCAGGGGCAGTTGAACGGGGAGCCTATAGGGGGAGGGGGTCGGCTATATAGCTTAATCCCCTCCCGTCAGCAAAGATCAGAGTAAGACATCTGTCACAGTAAAATGAAGATTCTTGATGGTAATGACCAAAGTGAACAAAATGAATACCTGAACTTTGTGGTCGATGAAATACTCCTGAAGTAAAAATTTAAACTATGGAAACTGTTGCACCTGTCACTTTTTACAGGGGACCAAGCCACCCAAAAATACAGTAGATTAAGTTATATATGTCTTGGTTGAAAAGTGTATCTATTAGCTTTTTCCATTGCAAAATTCACCTATGCTAATTTGCTGGCAATTTTAGCCCCCACCACAAAGTCATACAAACTGACCAAAACGAATTATGGTGCAATTTTTTTGCAGCATTTTTTTGTTGTCCACATTCTTCAATTCAGTGCCATAATGTGTTGGAAATGGCATTCCCAAGCCTCAATTTGTCAACCCCGGAAAACCCCACCCCGTACTTGCTGGCCTTCAAGTTTAGATAATCATCCTATGCTACTGCTATGACAGTTCGGTCCTGTTTTGCCTGTCTAACTTGCACTTAGCCAAAAACTACGGCACTGCAAAAGTAGCTGAAAATTACCCCCAATAAAAAATAATCAAACCCATTCACTGCCGCCACTGAAGCTACCACAACAATGCATTTCTTGTGTTTCTTTTGTGTGTTTGAGGGCAATGAACAGGCTATATAACAGCTTTGCCCCACAGGTGGTGCATTGACATGCATATCTTTATAATTTCAAAAACAATTAAATAATCTCTCATACATGTAGCTTCAAATTGAGTAGACATATTCTATAAATTTGAAACAGTTTAAGACAGGCCACTTATTACGTTAGCATTGTAGAAATTGAAGATTCCCTTATTTATATTTTTGCACTATAAATGGCTATTCCCTGTGGGACACTACAGCTAGTCCAGGCATTTTAAAGTTATTCTGGCGAAGGCATGCAGTTCAAATACAAAGATTACTTATATATTATATATTATATAAATTTTATAAAGCTTGAGATTCCCATACTTCGATCACTTGTGACATGCCCCATAAAGTCGACTTGATCAAGTTTCATAAATATGTCAGAGGCATAAACACATAAATATATTACCTTGACCCCTCGTCTTTTGCTTTGCCCTGGACGACAAATATATATGTGCAAAATCATCAACCATGCAGTTCTCTTCCGAATATTTCATGTTTAATGCCTTAACCAAGCTTACTGGCGGTGATTCGCTACTATTTTGTTCCTCCATCGTTGTGAAACAAACACTTAAAGCTTTAATAAAAAGCGATCAATCTTGCAGCCATTTTGTCCAAGGTATTGTGTTTACATCAGTGTTTACATCACACGTGTCTATTTTTGTGTTTTCATTACGTAATTTAGCAGGATGACGTAATGGATGGGGAAATGAGCGCGCAAGCAAATTTTGCAATACCTGCTGACTTCTGCCATACTGCTCTCAATGATGTGTGAATAAATATACATGGGGGATTTAAAATATGGCTTGCTACAAAGGATACAAAGTTCCATTACATCACCTAAAGTAGCTAGGGCTTTATTTTACCCGACATTGTTATGGAATATCATCACTGTGGGCATGAGCCACAAGAGAAAATGGTATGACAGAATTGATGGGAATGTTGTACTTGGTGCTTTACCTTTACGGATCATTGCAACATCAGTGAGTATATATGAAGGGTTGACTTGTGAGATTAACGACTGGCCTGTCTCATTGTGCTAATGAACATGCAAGATCTTAGGCACTTTCTTGCAGTTGCGCCGCCAGCTCGATAATTGGGGGGGGGAATATTCATATCTTCATGTGAACTCTGCATTATTAATTTCTTTTGAAATTGATTGTTTTTAGTCTATGAACACAAAAATATGAATATTCGCCCCCAATTATCGAGCTGGTGGCGCCACTGCTTTTCTTGATATATTCGCAACCGAAATAATTAATTGACAACATTATGCTTATATCGAGAAAGATTTTGATAGCCAGGGTAACAAATTCCCCCCAGACCCTTCCTCTAGAATGTTCCTGCATTTTGGGCTCAATATTCGATAAAATTTGGAAAGATCCAGCTGACATGGGCGAACAGGAGGGAAAATATTTCCCCGACTTTTCCCCATTCTGCCCGACTTGCTGAAAACCATTTTCTGTGTAAACTTTCCATGCATAGATTAATTCGTTGAATGCCAGTGCTCTCTTTTCACGAATAAAATCTTATTTAAGGTGGCTCAATACAATTTTTAAAAAAATGGAAAATTCACGATTTAGATGCGTATTTTTGGACAATTATTACTTGTTGATAAACAAAATGGACCTCACTTAATATATAAAACAACATCTAAGGAGTTTGAAGTTTTGCACAAAAGTTACGTAACTGCTGTTGCTATGGCAACAACGACGTTCCAAGATGGCAGATATTTTGGCTTTAAAGTAATTTAACACGTGAACGACATCGGTGACCCCCAAATTTTATCCAAAAAAAACATTTCTCTTAGACTTAGTATAATCAATTATTTTGACAATTAATTAAAAACAATTCCGTGGAGCTGAAATTTTTTAAATTACGTAAAGGTGATTATTCATAATAATTTTTTTTTGGCTCCACAGATTTTTTTAAAATTGTCAAAATAATTGATTATACTAAGAGAAATCATTTTTTAAAATAAAATTGGGGAGTCACCGATGTCATTTACGAGTTAAATTACTTTAAAGCCAAAATATCCGCCATCTTGAAACGTCATTGTTGCCATAGCAACGCCAGTTGCGTAACTTTTGTTCAAAAATTCAAATTCTTTAGATGTTGTTTTATATCAGTAAGGTACTTTTTGTTTATCAACAAGTAATAATTGTCCATCTAAATCGTGAATTTTCCATTTTTTTAAAAACTGTATTGAGCCACCTTAAGACAATAAAATAATAAAGAACTGGGCGCAGTTGGGGCGCAATGCAACTTAATGGGTTAATATGTTAGTCAGGACCCAAAAAAACCTAATAAAAATAGGCATGAAAAACAATTAAGATGGAAAACATTTTCATGCAGTGACTTATAATTTGATAGTTTATTATTAGCATGACAAAATTACTGGATGCTGATTGGTTGAGAGGAGTACAATTATTTCATTAATTGTACTGCAGTACAATTAATGATTTTCCCAAAACAAACAAAATGGCGGAAACGTACTTTAAACGCAAGCATGAAATGAAATTGCCGTGGAGGAACTAGATGAGAATAGGAACAAAAGCACCAAATTTTGCTTTAACAAAAGAACTAAATGAAAATACAAACAAAAGCACCAAATTTTGGTTGGAAGTCTGGCAGGACTGGGCTTTGGCGAGAGAATATGATGCTGACATTGAGAAGTATACGTATCCAATTTTGTCATGCTAATAATAAACAAATCAAGTAATCATGCGATGTTGCTCGTACAATTAGGGATTAAACATCACTCGTACTATTAATCCCTAATTGTACTCGCCATCGCATGATTACCTATACTTATTATTAGCATGACAAAATCACTGGATGCTGATTGGTTAAGAGGAGTACAATTATTTCATTAATTGTACTGCAGTACAATTAATGATTTTCCCAAAACAAACAAAATGGTGGGAAGATATTTTAAACACAAATGTGAAATGAAATTGCGCTAGAGGAACTAGATGAAAATACGAACAAAAGCACCAAATTTTGCTTTATTAACAAAAGAACTAAATGAAAATACGAACAAAAGCAACAAATTTTGGTTGAAAGTCTGGCAGGACTGGCCTTTGGCGAGAGAATATGATGTTGACATTGAGAAGTATCCAATTTTGTCGTGCTAATAATAAACAAGTAATCATATGATGTTGCTCGTACAACCACTCACCCCAGCGGCTCGTCCAATTTTAGCAAAATTCCCAAATATCACTCGTACTATTAATCCCTAATTGCACTCGCCATCGCGTGATTACCTATACTAAAATAAAATATGCATAGAAACCACAGTTAAATATTCTCCCAGAATGCAGGAATTGTATTCTAGGGACTTTAGCTTTCAAAATCCCGGGAAAGAATTCCCCAGAACCCTCCGAATTACTGAAGTACAGAATATGCATGAAAATGTTATATAAACATTCAAACCCGAAGGAAATAATTTTGCAAATTGTCCTAAAAGTGCAAGAATATGGAAATCAAGAGCGCCATATAACTTCAAGAATCTTTGATGATAGAAAATCCCTAGGGTCCCTTCCAAATATTAAATTTGCCCCAGGCCCCAAATTTTTCTGTGCGGCCCTGCATGTCCAAGTCCACTTTTTAGGGCAGCTTACACAGACTCCATTCTACAAGTAGGGTTCACTACAAATAATGTTGCCATTCACCATAAAGGGACAGTTGAAGGCACATTGCAACTAGATTTATTTAATATCAATTATCATTTAAGGGCTAGATAAATAAAATTGCCAAAATTCTAAGTGAGTCGCTCTTTAAAATGATAAACAAATGGTTCCCAATGGTATGCCTCTTTTATATTGGTTAATACCAACCAAGACGTTTTGTGACCTATTTATTGAATCATCAACAATAAATTTTACCATATAATTGTAACATGTAATTATGTTTGCATGATAAAGCAATCAGTCCCAACAAAAAGGAACTAAGTTTACATGATGATCAAAAAAACAGATGACATACGTATACATTTTCGAAATTAAAGATAAACTAGCATTATTAAAAATTAACCATCGACAACTGTTGAAACCATTGAAAATATGTACATTCAAGATGGCGTCCTTAAGTTAACCTTGGAAGGGCTTTTTAAATGAAGGAGGTGAATAGTGCAAGGATACTAATCTGCACGCGAAGCATCGAGGTGAATATCCTTGAATTAGCACCTATTGATTGGGACGGAGGGAAACAGTATGTTTTGTAGACCCGGAACAGCCAGTACTGTTAAAGCCATTTTATTCTCTGTATATACCAAGCCAAGTGTCAAAAGAAAAGAAAAACAACAAAAAGGAAAAGAAAAGAAAACAAAAACAACAATTAAAAAGGAAAACAAAAAGAAACGAGAAACCTTAATTTTTGCTTTATTACTCATTGATTTTATTATTGACCGGTAAACAAAAGTAATGTCCACCACAAGCACTCCTCAGGTATGTAGTCGTGTTAGTTGTTAAAGTTATAGTCGCGCGCGTTTTCGTTCGAGCGTCATAACTAACAGCCAAATTTTCTCAATTTCTAGCTGATTAATAAAGAAAACATTGGCGGGGTTGTAACATTGAATGAGGATTATGAAACAAAGTTACTGACGTATTCAAGTAAGGTAAAGTAAAAATCAAATGTTTTCAATCTAATTTTGATGAATTTTCTGTCGTTTGCAAATGCTGGAACTGCTGTGCTTTTCCCACAATGCATTGCTATTCAGTGTAGCTTCAGAAAGAGGGAACCTTTGTCGATGGTGCGCGGATTTATCTTGAGATGTTTCTCAAACGAGATTATGCAAGAGTCGCCTGAAAACTGATGTTGTTCTTCAAAAGGACTATCCGAAACGCACCATAAATACAGAGTCAATGCATGCACAGAATCAAATATCAATATTGATATTTTCGAATAAAACATCGGTTATTTAAAGGTGGTTTCTACAGAAACAATACTTTTATACGCTACAACACACAAATTGCTTTACAAATGCATAGAAAACAGGATAACAATCATGCAAATGTACATGACTTTTGCCCTTCGTAATCCAAACAAACAAAATACGAAAAACATGTGTTTTCTCATGTGAAGTCCGTACCCGCACCCATGCAGGCGATTAGGGCCTACTTTTCGGGTTAGATCCTACAACTCACCAGAATAATAATTATCGTAGAAAGTATCACTGACAGTCGCTTCGAAATTTGAACAAGTTCAAGTCGATCAATGTTAAGCCCAGATCAAACGAGATTGGGAGTGCATGAGAGTTGACAGCATAGAATAATATACAGATAGCCTATAGAACGCGTACTTGTCAAGTATCAATGACCACGAATCTCCACTTTTTCATGCGTATCCCCTTTCAAATCCGCCATTTTGTGGAGACAAACTTTTGACTGAGGAAAGATAGGAGTACGCATTTTATATTTAACAAATATAAAACATTATCCGTGTTGATATATGTATCGAACGGTTCAGGTTTATATTAACATTATAAATGATAGTAATGACGTAGAGACAACGCGCCAATCAGAAGCTAGTGTGGCACGCCCACAACCCGCCTTCTTTTTAGAGTTCATGCCTCCAGACATGGCGAAAATATAACAAAGCTAGCGCCAGTGCCGAACCGGCTGTTTTATTGTGATATGTGTTTAAATGTTATTAAATATATAGTAAAATTGAACGTTGTTTACATGGCGCCCAACGTGGGGCGCTAGCTTTGACGAAAGATCGAATTAAAATCGAAAATATCGGAGTTGTTTACGCGAGAATATGAGCGAGCCGAACAAAGATTTGAAAAGGATACGAGCTATTCGCTCGGGAAATCGGGGAGTTGTTACGAGATACAGCAAAGAAGCGATCGAGCTGTTAGATCAGGGTAGTGAAACGAATAAGGATCGACTACGAACAATAGCGAATTTGTTAAACGAGAAAATAATACGACTTAAAGAGCTCGATGCTCAAGTGCTAGAGTTATGCGAAATCGACGATATCGAACGAGAAATCGAAGAAACGGAAGAAATGTTTTCGAGAGCAAGCGACGTAAGTAGTAGAATCGAGAAATTTACGAGTGCGACGGGCAAGGTAATCGATAAACCTGGGCCAACGACTTCTAAAACAAGCGAAATAAACACTGATGTTGTCTCCAACGAGGGGACAAGTCAATCGAACGACGACCAACTACAAGTGGAAACATCGAACAGTCATGAATCGAACCAAGTGGAAACATCGAACAATCATGAATCGAACCAAGTGGAAGCATCATCAAATACCATCAACGCATCAACGGTACAATCTGTGTTACAACCGGGATCGACAGTGCACTACGCACCTGCAATTAAGCTACCCAAGTTGGTACTACCGAAATTCAAAGGAGATATTACAAACTATCGAACTTTTTGGGAAAGTTTCCAGAGCGCTGTACACCGAAATTCGTATTTAACAAACATTGACAAGTATAACTATCTTTTGTCATTATTAGAGGGAAATGCGCTTCGAGCAATAAAGGGACTGGCAGTTACAGCGGATAACTACCAATCGGCTATTGATATATTACAGGAGAGATTCGGGAAATCGCAACAAATCATAGCAGCCCATATGGACGAACTTTTGAAGTTAGCTCCATGTGTTGGGGAGAAATCATCGCAATTGCGGTTTGTATATGACAAAGTAAGTGTCAACGTTAGAGGATTAGAAGCTCTTGGTGTGAAACCGGATCAGTACGGGAGTTTACTAATTCCAGTTATTATGTCCAAGATACCTGGGGACGTTCGACTTGAAATCGCTAGAAAATCGGATAAAGAGGTATGGGAAATAAAGGAGTTATTAGAGATAATACGAAAGGAAGTGGAAGCTCGTGAATTAAGTGATCATGTAAGGGCCGACAGCGAGAAGAAGGTAAAACCACCACCTCGTTTTCCATCTACGACTACCTCGCTAGCAGCTCAAGGGAGGGATAGTAAACCGTATGGTGCGATCAGATGTGCCTACTGTGGGAATCTGCATTATTCAGTTTCGTGTGAATCGAAAGTGAAACCCAGTGAGCGAAAGGAAATTTTGAGACGAGACAATCGTTGTTTCGTGTGCTTACAAGTCGGTCACCGTGCCAACCAATGTCATCCGTCGAAAAGGTGTCGTCGATGCGAAGGGCGACATCACCAATCAATTGGCGAAAAGGTTGTGGCAAAATTCCCAAACGCTGGTGGAAAAGATAAGGATTATAAGGACGGTGATTCAAAATCGACAACTAAAGAAGAGCAGCCCGAAACAAGTGCAAGCAAAGGCGCAACCATTACTGCATGTCAAAATTCGACAACTGCAGCAACTCGATCGAAATGTAAAGTTTTCTTGCAAACTGCGACCGCGTATGCTTACTCGAAAGTGGAAGATGCTTTAATTCCTGTACGTGTCTTGATGGACAGCGGAAGCCAG